GGCCTTTTCGCCGATGAGCGCGAATCCAAGGAACATTGGCCCAAATGTTGCAATCTATCCGCCTGATGTCGGAAACTTGAATCGAGCAAGATTCGGGACCGAACTGGAATGTTGCCCCCATGCGAGTCAGACTGTGAACACTCAATAGATTGTGCTCAACCGGACCAGTCACAGAACGAACCTCGTATCGAATCATCTTTGATTTGTCATGGTCTTCAAACTCAATGTAGGTGGGGAAGAATACCTCAAGCATGCATTCACGGTCAATCCCAACCTGTTCACCAGAGGCTGTTCGAAATTGGATGGGCTTCTCGAGTTGGCGAACACGAAGTACCTTGTACACTTGCAATGCATGTTCCGATACGACGGTTCGACTTGCCCCCGAATCAACCAACCAAAGATAAGGATCATGGGGCTCAAGGTTCTGGCAAAAGAAGAAAGGCTCGGCGTGCGTCGAAGGGTTCAAACATACCGACAATCGGCCACCATCCTCTACATCGGGTTCTGACCAAACCTCGCTGCCAGCTTCCGACTCAGGCTGATATGATGATGAAAACTCGGTGGCTCTTTTCCTTTTGGTTTTCCTCCCTTCCAACCCTTGTCACCCTTCTCTCCCTTCTTCTCCTTTCCCTTTCCACCTTTTCCCTTCTGATCACCTTTGGGGTTTCTCTCGAAATCTCCTTTTCCTTTCTTCTTGGGGCAGTCAACGGCCAAGTGGCCTCGTTCATTGCAATGAAAACAGGTTCGTGTCTCTGAGCCAACCCCTTTTCCCTTTGATGAAGATCCTTTTTCCTTTCCACCCTTATCTTTTTCTTTTCCTTTCTTGTCCTTCCCCTTTCCCTTTTGATCGAAACCCATGCTTGCGATCGGCTTTCCATTGAAGTCTAGCCAAATGCGTTGCTGAGATTCGTACTTCAATGCACTATTAACATATGTTTGGAAGGACTCGTCGGTGAATTGAGCACTACCCATTGTCGACATTGGTGTGGTAGCGCCCTGAGCAAGATCAACACTTTGTCGGCTTCGACGAATTCAAGACCTTTGACATTCACCCCTGGGTCAACAAGTTGGGCAATGCGCTCATGCATACTGAAACAACTCGGACTGAATCTTTCGGGTGATTTCAGGAATTGTGGGCGCCGTGATGTTTGCGTTAGCAAGTTGGTTTCGAAAGGAAAGGAGTTCTGTTCGAGTCTTGATGGCAAATTCTTTCGAAATGAGACGAAGGCACTCGAATCCACAACATCGATGATATCCCTTTGATTCTTCGTAGTTCTTTATGACCAGGCTGGCCCTTGGATGGCTATCGAAGCACATTTTGAGAATGCTGAGGAGTCGAACTGATCTTGTAATCTGTGAGGCATTCAATCGATGCCAGCCAAGAGGCTGCGGTTCTTGAATGCATGAAAGGATCTCTCCTGGGTATGCGTTCGATCCAAGGCCAGTCCAGGATGCCAGAGCACTGAGCCAATCAATGAAACGAGTAATCTCGGCTGCTCTACCTTTCCATTCTCCAAAAGATGGTGTTGGAATGTCTGGCATCCAACGCTCACTACGCTTGAAGGGATTTTCTTCATGTTGGTTTCCCTGACCCTGTTGAGAACCCCCTGGGGTATGGATTGATGCATACGACGGCCCACCTCCGAACAGACGCGGAAGACCCGGCGGCGGAGGTGAAGCAGCCTGTGCGTTCGATGATGTCGCACCGAATGGCTGTTGCCGATCAGGTGATGTCGGCATACTAACAGGAAATGGTCGATCTGGAATTCCTGCTTCCTGAGATGGGGTTTGGAAAATACGCCAGGGGTCTTGAGTTTGCAACGGATCAACAGGAATATTTGCATTCGGATTTACACCTTGGCTTGTAGTTGGCATGTTTTGAGTGGCACCGGGTGCTCACTCTGGAACATTGGGTGGGGCGAACGGCATTTGTGCATTCGGGAATCCAGCGGGCGTTCCGGGACATGGTGTCGGGTTCACTGGTTGCGTCCCAGGTGGAGGAGCAGCCGCTTGTTGCAACTGAACGATCTGTTCTAGAGTAGGGCCTGGCGCCAATAATGCATTCGAAAGTTGCGACGCTTGAGACTCTAAACGATCGAGACGGTCGGATTCCGCCCCCTGCACTCCCGGCGCTTGCCGACCTGAAGCGGGCCTTGATGGCGAACGGTCCCTTGATCGATCGCGCTGGCTTGCAGTTCCTCCAGAGGTTGCCATGGCTCAAGATCCTAAAGGAGTGAGGATGACAACACAGTTGAACAAATGTGGAGAAACCTACTGCCCCGATTGGGGCTCCGCTACCATATGAAGATTCACTTCAGTTGAGATACCGTTCGAAAGGACCTGGTTGCAAACACGTGAACGAAACGTTCGACCCGCGACCAGGTCACGCCCCCAGACCACTGTTGTGGTCGCGCACTTTTTCATGCGCTTGAGCCTTGAGCCGTGCGGTCGTCGGGTCAAAGACTAGGGCATCAGAAGGACGGTTACTAGGGTAACCGCCTTCCTATGCCTTGCTTGTGCTGGGCGGCCCGCATCGATCCGTGGTTCTCTCGGGTGCTGCGCCTTCTGGTTTGCGCGTGTCATTCTTGCCGCACCCTCTGGTTTGTGCGCGTCATTCTTGCCGCACCCTCTGGTTTGTGCGCGTCATTCTTGCGCAGGTGGCCAAAAATAGGCCTGGATGACCTACAGCCTAGCGAACATGAGCACGCTTATATTGAGAGCTTGAAGTGTGTGGCCGAAATCGAACTATACGATATGGGGTCAATATTTCACACCACCACCACCACCACCACCACCACCACCACCACCACCACCGCCCAACACTCTGGAGCCCAATACGTCACCTCATGCTTCTAGGCCTAGGCCTTTTAGACCCGCTGTTTGCGGTCTCTTCCCGGGATAATCCTTTTCAAGAACTTTCTTTATTCCTTTCGCACTCATACTCTGCGTTCAAACATGTTGTAGATTGTCAGCAGCCTTTTCAAACCGGTGAAAGACACCGATACATGTAGTAGACAACCAAAGCGCGATGAATATAAATATCACAGAACCTCAAGCCCTAATTTGCAATGCTTTCGATACTGGGCGGATATGTGAAGCTGGGCCTGGTGAAGCTTTCCTAATTTCGAGAGTATCAAATATGCCGCCCCTCATCCTTCCAATCGTGCTTCAGACAATATACTCTGGTTGTCTCCTACTTCTTTTTCTTTTTCGCTGCCTCACTACCTCCTGCCCAGGGGAGATACGGGAAGAGCAGCAGGCCATGGACGTTGCAGAGCATGGATTGGAAGCAGGGGAAGACTTAGAAGTTTTTTTGCAAAGGTCATGAAACAACAATGCTCTTGCACGAAGCCCAAACGCATGGCATGAAAGCGCGACGCTCAAAAAGCTGGACCTGCTCCCTCAGCGCAGAGAGAGGCCAGCAAAAGGCTTAGCTCCACTCACCCTAATCAACCGACGCGCGCGAAAGTATTGCGAAATGGCGTCGCGCACGTGTCGTGAGATCTGGACACTGACACCTTGTCCACCTGCGTAGTGGGCAGTTGCTAGGGCAAGCAAATGCTGGGGTGGAGCTTGATGCAATGTTGAAGCTCCTACGATGACGGAATGTGCTGACCCCGATCAGGCCGGTACACTTGAACCACGCCAATAGCTCACGCCGCGAATTGCAGCGGGCGAGGGTTCTTTGTAGGCAGCCACACAGTCGCACCCTGCGGGGGGTACTCCGTGAGCGTGCGCGTCGCAACCCCGCAAGGTCAAGATTGCCATCAACTCGCGCAGGCGTCCCTGGGGAGAGCGTCGAAAAAGCATAATCAGCAAAGGCGTCAGCCAAGCTGTTGCCCCACTTGGCGGGCCACAACTGTGAGGGAATCCATTAAGGCCAGGGTGCAGTGACAATTTGCAAGGCTTCGTGTCTGGCGCAAAATGTGGCGCGTCAATGACAGCCCAAGTTGCAGCTCTGACCACGGTTTGCCGATCGCCCCGAAGTACAGAGACCATTGCCCATGCCGCCCACAACCCTATATGTGCAACGCGCCTATAGGTTGATGTTGAAACGGTCGTGCGCGCCATCGCTGCTGGTAAGACCTGAACTTGGGATGGCCACGCCGCTGCCCCCCCCCGCCTGGAGCACTGGAGCGTCGGCGAGAGGCGCCGTGCGCTTGTCATGAGACGCGGGTGGCTCGATGGAGTTTCGCGCCTTGCGCCGCTGACTTTCAGGCACGTCCATGTGTGCTGGTTTGCTTAAGGGCCGTTGACCATAACCAGTTCAAGACTGCGTAGTACCGTCTGATGCTCTGCTCAAGACGTTCTGGTTGGGCCATGGGTCCTGGGCATGCGTCGCCAAGCCCTACAACTGCCTGGCGATGACCCCACTCATGCAATGCCACGGTCTGAACAGAGTCGGGATGGAGCCTCCACGATAAACCAACGAAACAGCTGGACGGCTTGCTGCAGCGATCAGAACTCAGTGCCTGGACTCTGAAGCAGGAAATATCTGAGAGGTTGCGGACCCGGATTATTTTGGCGAAGTGCTCTGCAAAAGTCCTGTACCTGTAGTGGAGATTGCGTGAAGTATCCGCGCCCATGCTATAGCTCGAAGCGCTTGCTGATGCTGGCCTTGGGGCAATCATATCAAAAGGCTATCTAGAGTCGAATTGAGTGCCGTCGTAAAGTGATTTGCATGTCGGTGTGAGCATGGCGTCCAAAGTCACGCGCAGCCAGCGCGCCGCAATGATTGCCCATTGGGCAAAGAGTGTGCCCTTGCGCGGCAGTGTTTTGTGGATTGAAGGCTGATTCTTGCCAATCGGTTGCTGCTGCTCCAGACTTGTCCGACCTCCCCGAGTGGTCTTTTGACCGCGCTCATCGATAACTAAAGGACACACTGCCCAAACGACGTTCTGCCCACAACAAATCAACGTGCGTCCCACTTTTGCCCCGAGTCACGACGTTGATGTGATGTTCGACGCCAGGCGCAAGCTGCGCAGCAAGCTGTGAAGCTCATGAAGGCCATGCCCAAAGCCAAAGCCGCCCAAGCCGCCCAAGCCGCCCAAGCCACCGCCCCATTTCCAGCTCTCCAATCCACCGGGCCGAAGGGACCTGAGCGGGGTGCGGGAAGCGTGCTGAGCACGCGGTGTAACCAGATGAGTAAAGAAAATGAAAGGAGAGAAAATGGCAAGGAGGAAGAAACCAAGAAAGTGCAACCGGTGCAAGCTGAAAGCTTGTTTGAGCGCAAGCTGGCAGAGAAGAGGGAGAAAGCCAGAAAGAAGGAAGCGAGGAAGAGGAACAAGAAGAAGACGAAGGCTGACAATTGAAGCTTCCAAAATGCTTAGTTTTGTGTTTCTTCCGACATGTGTTTGCTCATTCCTTTTTTCATTGCTTTCGTTCTTGTGGATTTTTGAGGGATGCTTCATGTTGCCATGGAAACTACATCGTTGTGTCCGAAAATCTTCCACTGCGTGACAGAAGCGGTTGGGTGCTACACAATTGATGACCCCGGACATTTACTTGGCCTGGGCCGCTTGCCAATCATAAGAAGCAGGGAATGAATGGGAATGAGGCAAGACCTCGGAGTGCTGAAGTTTGTGTTTCAGTGAGAAAGGGTGCTCCAGCAATATTCGCAAAAAAAGGTCTAAAGACTGTTCTATCTTTCTTTCGCCAGATGGATGAAAGCAACAGGGGTTGGCTGATTGGCATTTAAGCAAAAACAGGCCTTACGAAAGACTGAACTTCAGCCGCGCCGTTGCTCATCAATCTGTGTACAAAGGTGTGGCTGAAACACAAGTGAAGTCGACAGCGCCGCACTGCAATTCCAAAAGCGGAATGTTCGATGTTTTGCGCAAGGATCATTTTGGAGCGCATGTCTCTTGTACCTTTTCTTTCTTGTTCTTGGGATGGGCGGTTCTATGTTCTATTTTTTTATCAGTGTGTGTTCTCTTGTTTTTTGAGTGCTGTCTCTCTTTTTGTCTGGTAGTTTGAGTTTTGTCCATTTTTTCTCAGTGTTGTTTTTTCCTCTTGTTGTTTGTGATGTGTGGAACCTATCTTTATTCCTTCTGTTAGTCATGTATTAAGTATAATTACTTTTCTTTTTCTCTCTTGGTAGTTTGAGTTCTGTTTTTTCCTTGTTCTTGTGATGTGTGGTTGCTGTTTTTTTTCTCTGTGTGTTACTCATGTTTTTTCTTTTGGTGTGAGTTGTGGCTATGCGTTGGTTTTTTTTGCAAAAACCATGGTGTAGTTTTTGTACTCTTTGTAGTTTGAGGTGTGGGTTTCAGTTTTATTTTCTGTGTCTGTCATGTTTTTTTGCTCTTTGTCTCGCTTGGTAGTGTGGGTTGTGGCTTTTCAGGTTCTTCTGTCTTGCTCTTATGATGGTGTTTCTCCCTGTGATACTCATGTTTATTTTTTGTTTGTTATGTAGTTTTTTTTACCTCTTGTTCTTGTGATGTGCGTTTTTTGTTTCCTCGACAAATACACTATATACATTAAACACACACACATATATATATATATAGTATATATATGAACATATATTGTGCGAATGGAAGTGCAGCGACACGTACAGTGCAACTTGTACATATATATGTACCATATGTACTTTGGCTCAAGGATCAAGCGACTAGAAAAGGTGCGGTTTCCGTTCCGACGCTACGCCGCTTATGGACCGTCAGTGATAGCTTCAAACTTCGCTGATTAAGATCCACTCGCAGGTTATCAGCCGTACGCGCTCTTTATAGCCGTACGAGCTACACGAGACCAAGAACAAGACTAGTCATTACAGAAACCTGCAATGTCAAGCTCAGGAGGAAATGGAAGCGAACCCTATTCATTCGCTGCTCCTGGTGGTCCCAACACCATTTCGTCACCAGACTCTACAATGGGTACTGCTTCATCAGCAAATGCTGACGTTATCACTATGCCTACTGGATCACAAATCTCGGAAAGATCCGTGCCACCGGCTCGGAATCTGACCGATCTTGCGCCCGTAGGACCAAGAAGATCGATGAGAGCTACAACAAGATCTACATCGCCTATAACGTCTTCCGCGAGATCCCCAAGAAGGAGTATAGAGAAGAGACGTGACGATGATAGAGGAACAAAAGAGCAAAGAAGAGAGATTCAGCTGGGTGAAGAATTGAGATCGGCGAGAAACGCATACAATTTTCTTCATGAAGAATATGAATGCATCCAAGCCGGATACTCACGACTACACCACGAGGCTGAAGTGGAGTTCAGGCAAATGTCTGACTACAACAGGAAGATGCAGGAACATCTACAAGAGATGACACAGGAAGATGAAGGAGCGACAATAAGAATTGAAGAGCTCGAACACAAGCTACGCTTGGCGGAATCGACAGCTGAACATATCTACATGAGATATCAAGAGCTTGCACAAGAAACTCATCAAGAACATTCAGAGCTTGAATCTGTGAAAGCAACGAAGGACAGAATGTCCCAAGAGCTTCAAGCAGCAATTGGACACATCCAAGAACAGAATGAATCTTCATTGGCGATCAATAGAAGATCAAAAGCCATTCAGGATGAGAACACAGCCTTCGTCGGAATAGCTGACCAGATACAAGCTAGAATGATTGCGCTACAGGATGAGAATGTCAACATGCACGAGGTGATCCAACACCAGAGAGAAGAACAATGGAACAGTGAGGTCAGGGAAAGACGTCTTCAACACAGTGTTCACTCATCTCAAGATCAGAGCAATCAGGAAGCTATGGCACGTGGAGCTGAACTCAACGCGAGAGCGGAGATAGGAGAGATGGAAGTGGGCATGAGGATGGAGATGTTTGTATGCCAGACTGAAGTCTCTGCTAAAGAAATGGCAGAAATGAAGGCGAGCCACCATGAATACGAAGCAAACGTCGCAAAGGAGGTTATCGCAAAAGGGGAAATATTCAACAACGAAGTCCTAGAAAGTTCCATCCGTGAACGACAACAATTGAAAGACGTCAACCTCGCTCTATCCGAAGCCAACGCACAGCTGAAAAGAGAGAATATGATGAGAGCTCCTATGTTCGGCGATGATGGTGCTGAAATTCAACAGAAGATCAGAGAACTGGAGAATGCACTATTGGAAAGCCAGAAGGAGACAAAGAATGTCATTATGGAAAATGCGAAATTAAAAGCAGAAGCACGAATGGCACCCATAGTCTCTCGGTACAGCAAGCGTCCTAGTTCCAGAGACCGCGGGTTACCAACCCACGCGTCCGAGGAAGATGAGATTCGGAACGCAAAAGAGGAGGCGAAGCACTACAAGGACGGGTACAATGAAATGACAGAGAGCCGAGATGAGATGTATGAATGGTATGCCGAAACCCACAATGAGTACGCCGAGGAAAGGGAGAAATCAATTGAGCTATCCGAGGCGAACAAATCATTGAGGGACAAGATTTCAGAAGCAGAAGCATCCTCTTCATCTCATCTTGCACCGGCAACCTCTACAATCATGAAAGTATCGAGGAAGGAAGAATCAAAGATAAACGTTCCGTCATGGCCCAGGATCAATGATCTTGGACTATGGAAGGCAAATCTCATTCAATCGATCATCATTGCGGCCAATGATTCAGATCAAGAGCCCTGGATCGACTGGATCAAAGAAGCCATGGACGACCCTGATCCGGACAAGTTTGTCGACTCAGGAGACCAAAGATTCCATTCAATCGATGCCAAACTCGGCCTAGCTCTTACCAAGGTCGTCATGGATGCGAAAGATGATGGTTCAGGTGTAGCTATGAAGTTGAGGACGAGGATCAATGCAAAAGGGAGAACATCAAGCCTCATAAAGGGAAGAGAGGTCCTAGCCCTGATCCTTATGAATTTCAAGACAACATCAAATGTGGAAGTCTTATATACTTCAATGCACCTCTACCAACTAGAATATCAAGGAGACAAGAACTTATCGTTGTTCTTCCACACTTGGGATGAGATTCTGGCAGGAATGAAGCCCGTTGACGTCCCGAGCGACGAAACTCTTCGGGATCTCCTATGGAGAAAGATCAGGAACTCAAACCTCATGGCATACGACATCAGCGCCTACAATAGCATGAACGACGATGATGCCAAGAAGACATACAAACATCTACGTGATATGATCAGAAGACACATCGAACGGCAAACTGAAGACAGGATGATCCTGGAAAAGGAGAAGGCAGTGAAGAATGTGGCCAATATCTTTCAGAATCTCAAACCAGGCGGACCTGCTCCAAAACTGAAAGCTGCACCAGCTGATCCGAAGAAGAAACCAAAAGGGCAACAAGAACAGGTTGTCTCAGAAGACGCTGCTGCAGTGAAGCCGAAACCCAATCCCAAGAAGCATCCTGAAGACAAGAACAAAAAGGGAAAGGGGAAAGGTAAAGGTGATGGAAAGGATCGCAGCCGAAGTCCGAGTACAGACAAGAAGAAGATACCATGCAAATTCTTCGTGAAAGGTAACTGCACTATGGGGAAAGATTGCCCATTCAGTCACAAGAAACCCAGATCACCATCCAGAGGATCTTCTGTCGGAAAGAATGACAAGCCAGTATGTTGGATGTGGATTCGAGGAACTTGTGACAAAGGGAAGGATTGCAAGTTCTACCATGATCCAAAAGCCTCTCCTAAGAAAGGGATATCTGCACCAGCTGACTCAGGAGACGATAGGCCAAAGCCCAAGGCAAAACCCAAACCGAAGCCTAAGGCGAAGCCTGGAGCCCCAGCCATTGACGGTGAACTCTTCATGGACGAATCCGAAGATGAAGGGATTGCTGCATCCGCCAAGGCAAGAGAAGGAGGTGCAAAAGTATCCTTTGATGAAGAGACTTGTGAGATCATGTTGAACGAAGCGATCTACTCAGTCAGGGACAAATGGAAGGTAGTAGAAAAGAAACCTCTACGTCCGGACATCAAACGATACGATGAGAAAGAGCTCACCTGCTACACGAGGAAAGAACAAATCAGATTTGAAGAAAAGGTCGCAGAGGCGAGAGGCATATTGATGGTCCCCTACACTGAGATCAAGAGGGTCCGAATACCAGTTGGACCAAAGGGTGACCTATCGGTCACTATGTCTTTTGACGAAGATGACGGCCTAGTTTTCCATCATAAAGTCATTCCTCATGTATGCGAGGGAAAGAAAGATCATGCAGACACAAAGACATTGTCTATTCCAGCCAAAGGATCAAGAACGAAGTTCATCATGGACACAGGATGTGGGTATGATTTGATATCGAAAGGCAGAGCCAAGAAATTAGGTCTGGAAGTGAGAGAAAGCGACCAATCAATGTCATTCTATACTGCAAATGGAGTGACATCCACAAAAGGAGTCGCCGACATTCATTTCGACGAATTTGACTCTACCTACTCCCCATTCGTCTTAGATGAGTCTCCTTCAGTACTGTCTGTTGGAAAGAAATGCATGGAGGAAGGATACACATTCATATGGCCAGCCTGCGGCAACCCGTACATGGTTTCCCCGAACTACAAGAAAATCATGTTAGAAGTAGAGGGAAACATCCCATATATTGTCAAGG